GCAGATGCTGGACTATGTATCCAGTGGGAATGAGATAGTCCAGATGACAGTCTAACCTTTAGCAAGTATGCATTGCACACAAGCATGAGTGATAGCAGCAAAAGGCTGGTTCTTACAAAGCTGGAAACAGACAGATAGATCATGGCACGGTTTGCTGGAAACTATTAATATATCTTCAGGTATTGGGAAATGGGAATATTTTATTATTTCTCTTTGAGGTCTTTCCTAGATACAGGTTTCCCTAGCTTTATGCTGTACGTCCATTCCTAGAAAACAGCATAATGGCTTAGGACCTCTTCAGAAAACTATGAGGAGGCCACATCTGAAAGTTAAGTCAATGGATATATTTGTTATGAATAATTGTTGTCCAGTGCAAGGGAGTAATAGTTTAGCTCTTAATTACCACTCCTCTCCTCTACTTCACATACAAATATACAAGTTGCATATGCTAGTTTCAGGGATGGAGCACAATGATTTTGTGGGAAAGGCTGTGGTTGAGGCATATCTGACTTAGTTAGTACCCAGAAGGACTATAAATCTTGTAAGAAAACTTTTCATGGGTTTCCTAGCCTGATTTCAAGACCACAGAAGTTCAGATAACAATATAGGCTAAGAATAGATCATCAAAAAGCCTGAGACTGAATCTATCCAGTCTTCGCAGGTTAGTTTAAGCTGCATAGATTGAATCAATAAAGAAGTGAACTGAATTCACTTTTGATTCTGGAATTGCGGCCACATGCCTGCAGTGGCCCAGGCCAGAAGCCGGGAGACACTACAGAACACCTCCCTGGTTGCCTGGAGCAGACAGCTTGGGTCAAAGCTAGCCCATCTACCCTGCAATGGGAGCTTTGCTGGGGAGATGCAAAGCATCCTGGGATGCTGGGGGACTATGAGTTAACTGAATTTGGAGGGGTTCTGGGACAGAAGTTCAATAAACCGATTTAACCTAAGGCACTTAAGTCTGATACTACATCCATCCAGGTTTATCTTAAACTGGTTTGGGCCATTTTTAAAGCACTTTATGTGCACTGAACTTCTGTTGTGTTACAGATTGGAACTGTTTTCTGATCACTTATACTGGTTTATGTATATTTTTTGTCCATAGCCATATAAGCAATTGTCATTGTCCTGTCAGTCTTTTACACTTTTGGATAATCATTCAAAATAGCTCTTTGAGGGCAGATTCTGTTACCTACCCATGTTGAGTAATACCTGCCTCCCCTGTTTTCAGAGCAGCTATTTGTAGAGTAAAGGAGCACCTTAACAAATGCAAGTAGAATCTGGCCTTCAGTCCTCCATAACTACTGATTACCTCTAAAGTTTTGATGATATAATACATTTGTCTGCCTTTTATTCATGAAATAGAAGTATTTGATGCTGTTCCTAATCAGTAGCTACTTCATGTATTCAGCTGTGTGCGCCTCAGAAATACTTTAATACCAGAGCTGTAGCTCCTGATCTACTAGAACAGATTGCTATAATGCATAACTTCTTGGCCAATCATGCATTGTGATGAAGATTAGCCACAATTCAACTGCACAGATTCTTTTTAGATCACTTTCTCCCTAGATTTAGGTAGCTGATTCTGTAAGGCAGAGGAATTTAAATTTTTGTGTCTTGGGTTTTTTTTTGTTTGTTTTTTTGCAGTTATCTTAGTGGGGATAGATGGAGCTCTGACTAAAGCCTTCTTGAAACCCTATTTTTGTACTGGTTTGTGAAAATGTATAGCTGAATTAATATCAGAATAACTTCTCATAAAATACGATAATTTATATTTACCATAAAGTCTAAAACTAAAGACTCTGGAAGGTTTTGGCACTGCTCAGCTTCAGTATAACAAAGTCAATTGCTTTTCAGTAAAGTAGAGTTACCGTTCATCCCTCTGGATATAAAACCTGTTCCTCCCTCCTTTTTAATAGTACTTTGTATTCAGTACAAATTCCAGGCTCTGGGCCAAACTCATCTCTGGTGGAGCTCCACTAAGTTCAGTGAGGTTACCCTAGAGATTAATTTGGCACTACTTATTTAGGGCATGATCCTGGGAAGCTTTGGGTGAGCTCAGCTCCCATTGATGTCAGCACCTCCTAGAATTGGCTCCTTATACTGAATTCAGTGAAGATACTTGGAAAGTCTCATGTTCCTGGCTGTGGGTAGGACAGTAGTTAGCTGTGAAACTAATAAATGAATGTACACGCATTCACAAATATGAGATTTTTTGTTTCCTTTTTCATGTGTTACTTGAACATCACAAATGTAACGCTCAAGCCAAAAGCAAGAAGTGAGAATTTTAAAGCTGAGGATTTGCTTTTTATGTTACATCAGTATGTTCCATTAAATGTGTCTTTAAAAAAATGAGGCGTTACTGAATTTAACTTACAGATACACATGAGGACATTTATCAAATAAAAAGAAGAGACTTTGAAGTTTTAGAACCAGATTTTCCATAGGTGTAAATTGTCTTTAATGAAATTGGGGAAGCTGAATTGATTTTTATAACAGTAGAGGATCTGACCCTTTATTTCCAAATGGAAATTTTATTTCCTTTTATACGCATTCCTTTTGTGTTCCCTTTGTTTAGGGGTTGCTATGTGTTGCTATGCTGATCACATAATGATCATTCTGTCTCTAACTGTTCCCCACAACAGGGAAATATAGGGGCATATTAGAGCCTGACCCATCTCCACTAGGTATATGGAGCTACATTTCCCCCACAGAACTCACTTAAGTTGTGAGCATTAACTGAAGTCCGATTTTGGTCCAACACATGCTGCTGAGATTAGAGAGACAAATATTATTTTAATCCTTTTGGGATGGATTTTAAATAATTTGGGAGATGTGAGTGACTAATTCTGATGGCAGGTTAGTTAGAAGGTGGGTCACAGAACCCCTCCCATGCAACAAAATAATCAGTGGCTTGAGTTGGTTTGGGAATTGTGCATTGAGGAAGAAGAGAAGCTTGTCTTCTTCGTCTCTCTTTCTCTTCCTCCCCCTCTCTCTCTGTTTATCTTTAATAACTATCTGGCCATTCCTTTTTGAGTTTGAAGGGTTTGTATCACAATATTTACCAGTTTGCCAGATATTTGTAATATGTGAACAGGTGGATCTAGTGTTTTAAACCATGCCAGATTTCTGTCAATAGAGCTCTGAAGATAGAAAAACTGAGGCAGATGCATTAATGTTCTGTCCCAGACTAAAGTGAGAGTTGGCATTTAGAACAGCTTACCAAAGAAGCCTAAAAGATTTTTTTTTTCCCTCTTGAGCCCTTTTGGCTGTAACATTAAAGAGAATCCAGTTCTTTCTTACCACTTTAAATGAAAAGAAAAGATTTGCAAGAATTGGGGACATTAAAATTTAATTTTATTTACTATTGCTCGTCTTTTTAAAAATGAATTACAAAACTATTAACACTTTCCTTTCACTTTTTTGTGTAGATGAAGCCTTAATTATTAACTTTTAAATAAAGTTTCTGATATAAGGCTTTCCTCAAAAAAATGGAACCAATTACATGAACAGGGCGTCTCTGCCTCCCTTCACTTCTGTTGTGTTATCCACAGTATACAATATGCTTTTATGTCAGTCTTTCAACAATTCAGGCACAGGATTGCATGGCTAAATCTTTGTACTTGTACCCTGTGGCTATATATATGCCATACGTACACACATCTAAGATGAGGTTTTTTCCCCTCCCATTCAACAGGACTTTGATCCTGAGCCTGGGGTCAGATTTGGAGCCAGTCACTGCTCCCCACTGTCACCTGCCCCCTACAGCCTCTGATCTCCTTGCCTTTGTTCCCACCCTCTCCCACCTTACCTTCCACTTGCAACTATGGCTCCAGCTGGGGCTCTGCTCTGGCTGGAGGTAGGGAACACAGAGTATATGGTGCCTCTGGCACCAGCCCAGCTACACAGCAGTGACAGCAGCTCAAGCCTGGCTCCAGGGCCAGGGTTGAAGCTGCCATTCCCACAACAGCTGCTCTGTGGTTGGACTGGGTCTGAAAGCAGCACATGCTCCATGCCCCTTGGTCCCGGGCCAGAGAAGGTCCCAGCAACAGCTGGAGCTACAGGGGGAAAGTAAGTGGTGGGAGGGGAGGCAGCAGGAGGGACAGTGGAAGTGGGTGGGGAGGGGCAAGTAGTGGTAGGGACAGGTGCAGGCACTGTGGGGGAAGGGCAGGTGTGAGGGGCTACAGGCATAGGAGGGGAGGTGGTATGGGGGGCCAAGCAAAAACTGCAGGTAAGGGTAGGCATCAGGTTGCTGGTGCCAGGGGGGAAAGGTAGGAGGCATACAAGTGAGGTGAGATAGACGGTATGAGTTCTGCAAGGCAGGTGTAAGGTGTGTAGAGGTGGAAGTCAAGGGAGCAAGTGGTGGAGTGGGACAGGCAGCAAGGGGCAAAAGTCAGGCCACTTGACTCCTCTGCCACTTGCCCACCACCACCTACCCTCTGCCACTGCTTGTCCTGGTGCAGCAGCTGGGGGGAACAAATTTAAGATGACCCTCCAAAAAGTAGATTCTAGACATGGAAAATCATAACAAATCTATGTCTAGTTTCCATGTCTAGTAGCTAATCGTTTGGGAGTTGTCTTAAATTCAGAGTCATCTTGCTTTTAGGTAAATACGGTATTGTACATGGATGTGCAGGTGCATCTAGTAAATTACTTGCATACAACTTCTGTAGCTTTATGTATAGATACAGTGAACTTTATGTACAGTTACAGTGATGAGTTGTGCAAGTTAGGGGTGCACAGTTGTGTATCAACACAATTGTGAATTTGGTCCCTAAACTGTATCTATTAAATGCACAACTACTGTACGTGGCATCTCTCACACCATTTCAAAATTCAGTGCCTCTGCTTTGCATTGTTTTTATTTATAATGCAGTAGAGGGATGCCAAGAAACAGGTAAATATTTCTCCATCCACTGGTTATCTGAATGTGTATATTCTGTTTGTCCTTCTTTTACTGCAAAGCATCCATTGTAGATCCTTTTGATATCTATCCTCAGACCAGACTCCTACACCAACACGATTCCTGAAGAACTGTGAGGAAGTGGGCCTCTTCAATGAGATTGACTGTTCCTTAGAGCACGAGTTTAGAAAGGCACAAGAGGAAGAGAACAATAAAAGGGTATGTTTTAGTGCACTGGACTCTTCCCTCACCTAACTCCTCTGAGTGTGTGTGGATGCTGTGTGAAAACAAATCTAGCTTCATTACCTGATAGTAACCATTTTAGTTGGAAACTAGATGGCACTATAGATTGTGACATGTTTTCTAATGATGGAAATCATGGATAAAAACATCTAACTAGTTAAATTTCCTGAAGTATTATTAGCACAATGTCCAGCTTCTGATTTCTGGATCTACACTTGTAAGTAAACTGTTATGCAAACTGCACACCTCTGGAGGGACTGTCTTGGTAAATTCTGTCTTGCACAGATAGGATTTAAAAACTGAATCCATTTACTTGCTGTGAAATGTTTTAGAGGGTGCAGAGAGGAACAAGCACAAAGACTTTTGATTTGTTTTCTGCTCTTGCCAACTGTGGCTTTACTGAATCTCTAGACTTAATCAGTATCCCTGCTAACTTGATCTAATTGTGTTGGTTGTGTTTTTAATAAATATATGAACTAAAAGGAAAAATAGAACTTAGAGGTTAGAAAAAAGCCACTGTGTATGAGATCATGTATACCATTTTCATTTTCTCTCCAATTGCTCTGCATGTCCACAGAGCTAGACTGGGGCATCTAACTGATTTAGAATCATAGAGAAGTTGGACTGGAAGGGACCTCCAGAGGTCATCTAGTCCAACCCCCTGCCTGAGGGAAAATCATCCCTGTACAAACCATCCTATAAAATCCATAATCTAAACTCTGCATAAGGCAACTGTCAACCCTGACACAACACAGACCTAATACCCTAGCCTGCCACATGTAAATCAGGGGATCCACAGCAGCCAATGTCCAGCTTCGATGAAATATTTTCAGTATATGTTCAAGAGACCCAGGGTAGAGGGTCATGGCCCCCACTACAGAAGAAGGCAAAAACCCCCACAGCCTGTACCAATCTGACCATGGCATGAAAATCCTTCCTGACCCAAAATATGGTAATCAGTTTGACCCTGAGCAGAAGGGCAAGACACTCTAGCCAGGAACCTCTGTCTTTGGTAACAGCAGGAGCATTGGCAGACTCCAGTCAAAGTCCCTAGCCTTGGCTGCAGCCAACAGTCAATGCCTCTGAGGGAAGTTTAAAAACACCCTGAAATATATAGCAGAAAGTGGGTGTGGGCAGCAAGCAGAAAAGCCCAGAAGCATAGCAAATATCCATAGTAGAACATAGGCATAGCTACACCTAGATCATTCTTGACCAGTGGCTAGCCAACCTCTTTTTGAACACCTCCAGCGGTGGGCGTCCACAACTTCCGCAGGCAGTCCATTCTACTGCCTCACTATTCTAACAGTGAAGAAGTGAAGAAGACTTAGAAGGAATTAAGTGTACTTACATGCTCTAAAACAATGGTGCTCAACCTTTTTTGGCTGGTGGGCTGGGCAGACAGTGCCCAGGTGCTTTGTGGGCTGAATCCGGCTGGTGGTCCTGATCCAGCATGGGGCAATTCCCCATCCAGCTGCACAGAAGGGAGCAGGGGCATCCTGGCTTCAACCTGTCCCCATGGTGGGGAGGGAAGGGGCATGGCCCAGCCCAAAACTGGGCCTGCAGGGGAGGCAGCATGGCCCAGCCCCAACCCAGCCTTACAGGGGAAAGGGGGCTTGACCCAGTCCTGCAGAAGGGGAAAAATAGGGGGCATGGCCCAACTGCAGGGATGAGGGTAGCGGGCATGACCTGGCCCCAACTGGCTGTACAGGCTTGGGGTTTGGGAATTTGGCAGTGGGAGATAGTGGCTCTATTTATTGCCATTGGTCCTCTGCCTGCAAATTTCCTGATCTGTGGGGAGTCCTGCAGGCCAGATACCTATGGCTCTGAATTTGGGCTGCATTTGGCCTGAGCACCCCTCAAAAACATCATCCTAGCACATTGGCTGTCATAAAAAAACTGCAATAATTTATAAGTAATTATCATAGAGTTCAATATAGTTAGGAGACAAATAAGGGTGATTGATGAATTTCCAATGCTTTCCAATATACAGCCAACCTTTTGGTTGCTTGCCTAACCTGACACATGGAAGACTTCCATTCCCTTCTTTCTACTGTGGGGTGACCCATTGACCCATAGCTCTCTGCTTCCCTTGTGAAACCTTCAAATAACTTGTCAGTTAGTTCAATTGGCCCAAATTCCCTATAGCCTTCTTGTTGCCTCTTAAATTGTCACTCCCTGAATTGGCTCCACTACTTCTGAAGATATTATTCCAGGGCCTAGGTATTCCGATGATAACCTGTATCTGTTTAACTTGGGTTTTAAGTGAGGCCTAATGCTAAAGTGAGAGGAAGTTGTAGAGAGAGCAGCACCCCTGTCTGCTGCTAAAGCCAGCAGGAGCTTGCCAACATCTGTCTACCTTGAGTAAGAAACATTTTGTTGTAGTGTCTCTTTCTCTTGGCTGTGGTTAATGAATGCTCTGCATTCTGGTTCAATCTCCTTTTACCACTGTATGGTGTCAGTCATTTTGCTGGGTCTTGGCTGCAGCTGAATTCAAATTCCATGGACCCTCAGTCTTTGCCTGTTGAAGTGCACGAGTGGAACTTGTGAATTCCTAAGTTAGCAACATTCAGAAAGATCTTTGAGGTCCTAAAATATTTGTATGTGGAAAGAGCTAGGCTGATTCTTGGAAAGGAGTTGTGGCTTACTGCTAGGTTGTCAACTGGGAGATGAGATGAATTGAAAGGTCATAGGACAGGAGTCCAGAGGTTATTTGAGAACAGCTTGAAGGACACTAGAGATTGATCCTGGTGAATTTTGGAGAGTCGCTGTTATGCTGAAGGATGGAAGGGAACATTCAAAATATGAAGGAGCTGAGTTGCAGTCATAGGATGGTAAATCACTATAGCCTGCTATAAAGGATGACTGTTCTGAAACAGCTGTGGAATGAGAGTAAATGTGTCTAATTTTATGGTTAGTGCCATATCTACTTGAGAGGGTAGAACTGTTAAATTTATGACATTAGGACATTTTTATATATTAATATTTTTACACACATTCTCAGTGCAAAAGGTGATTCCTATGCAGTACCTGCTATTTATTTTGCAGGGATGACAGGAAAGCAGTAATCTCATGATCTTGGGTCCTTTACAGTTTACCGCAAATGATACAGTATGATGTTGCAGAGTCAGTTTCAGCTCAGAAAAGATAGTTGCACAGTCTGAGTAAAATCTAGACTAGGGCATCATGTTACCTGACAATTACCAGTTGTTTAAGGACCTCTAAAGGTCTTATTCTTTCTTCCTTGTACCAACCACTGAAGCTGCCCTAGGCTATCTCAAGGAAGCAAATTGAGTGGGTTTTTTTCAAAAGAAAAGTCACAGACGTGAGATAACCTGTAACATTTGTTCTTTGTTTCCAGTTAGCTTGCTACATATTATATTACCAATTTAGTGGATTTGTGGATGACACCAAGTTAGGTAGAGTTTCAGCCATTCTGGAGGGCAGGGGTAGGACCCAGAATGATCTGGATAGACTAGAAAAATAGTCCATAAATCAATTATAAAAGGACAAGTGTAAAGTCCTGCACTTGGGACAAAATAACTATGCACAAATACAGACTGGGGAATGATTGGTTAGGCTGCAGTACTGCAGACGAGGACTTGGGGGTTACAGTAGACCATAATCTGAATATAAGCCAACAGTGTACTCTTGCTTAAAAAAATGCCAACAGCATACTGGGTTGTGTTAATAGGAATGCCACTTGCAAATCAAGGGAAATGAATCTTCCCTTCTATTCAGCACTGGTGAGGCCTCATCTGTAATATCGTGTCTAGTTTGGGGCTACACACTACAAGAAGGATGTGGATAGATTGGAAAGAGTCCAACACAGAGCAACAAAAATGATTAGGGGCCTGGGCAGCAATGTTTAAGAGGAAAGGATGAAAGAACTAGGGTTATTTAGTCTAGAGAAGCAAAGACTGACAGAGGATTTAATAGCAGTCTTCAAATACCTGAAGGGTGATTACAGAGAGGATGGAGATGGGCTTTTCTTTGTGGCCATAGGGGACAGAACTACAAGCATAGCCTCAAGCTACAGCTGGGGAAATTTAGACTGGAGGTTAGGAGGAACTTTCTGACTATGAGGGTAATCAAGCATTGCAGCAGGCATTGCATAGAGAAGCCCGGAATCTTCATTCTTTTCAAGAGCAGGTTAGATGGACACTTCTTTGGGATAGTTTAGTCAGGAATGATCCTGTCTTGAGCAGGCAGCTGAACTAGATGACCTCATGAGGTCCCTTCCAGTCCCACTTTCCTATCATCCTATGAGCTGTAAAATATGAATTTGAAACTGGTCCCAGCAAGGCCATACACAAATGCAGCAGACAAAGGATACACTAGAAAATGACTCTTCCAGTCACATGTGTTCCTAAGGTAGGGCTTCTAATAGTCTGGTTTTGAAGTAAGAATTTCTCTAATTTTTGCAGTGTTGGTAAATTGATTTAATGTTAGCAACACAGAGATGTTACTAATGACTGAGGAAAGGTCTCCAAAATATTTTCAGTCTGGTAGATTCCTCTTGCTACATTGGACTATGAAAGAAATGTATATTTTAGCCTAGTTTACATTATTGTGGCTACAAGAGAACGTACCTTGACACAAGCTCCATAAAAAGAAGACTTTTTTTTCTTTGCAAGTCTCCTCATTTGAACAACCACACCACTAGTCCAATAAATTATATATTTTTTTAAACATGTAACCATGTGACATTCATAAGAATTTCTGTTATGTTTAAACTGTGCTGGCACTCCAAATTACCTGTGAAAGCCTGAATCCTGTAGCTTGTAAACATGGCAAAAATTTCCCCTTGTGTGGCTTAATGGCGTCACACATTACAATTTTGCCCAGGGGTGGGCAAAATGCGGCCTGCGGCCCAGATGCTGCCCACCGGACTATTCTATCCAGCCTGCAAGGCCCTTTAAAAAATTAGAAAATGAATATTTATCGACCCCCAGTTGCCTGCCATGTGGCCCTCGATG